CCTCCAGCACTGTAGGGTCAATGCCAGTAGCATCCAACAGCGCCGAGGAGTCCACGTTCAATCTCGCCGCTGCTGCACTCAAGGCCGGTATCTCCACTCTAGCAGGAGGCAACACAATATCCTCTGCCTCTTCCTCCTCCTCAGCCGCTTCCACTGTCGTTTCCTCCTCTCCCTCATCTACCGCCTCTCCCGTGTCACCACCCGTCGGGACAACCGTGTCACCATCCTCCTCCTCCTCCTCTTGTTGGTGTACACCTTCTTCCACCACAGGTGCTGGGGCAACAGCCACCTCCTCCTCAGCCATATGCTCCACCGCCTCCGCTACCCCCAACACCGTTTCCTCAATATTAGCTCGCGCCGGTGGCAACACTCCAGACTGCCTCCACCTCTCGCCCACTCGAGCCGCTACGACACTCCCTAACGGCTGCTGTTGGACACTTGTGCCAGTATGTGAGCGCGCTATCAGTGGGTGCTCCCCAGGCGCCTGGACATCCAGAGACCACATAGGTTCAATCCCGTCAAACGACATCCTTCTACTCCTCCTCCTCATTCCTTCACTATTATTATGACTCATCTCCCTCACAGCCGAATCAAAGATACTGAATATTCGCCTGGAGTGCCCTCCGCCGCCGCCGCCCGGTGCTGCTGCCGCCGCTGTCATCCATCGACCCTCGCCCGGCCTACCACTCCCTCGCCGCATCAGCTCATGCAAACCCCACGGCCCCGTCGGGTCACGGCTCTGCATCACCCTATCCTCCTCTTCATCCTCATCACTACCCCCTATATGGAAAAAGGAATCTGAACAGCCACAGTTACTGCTGGCAGACACCCATCTAACTTTCAGAGATAGCCCTCCCCCCCAGGGTTCGATAACAATGAGAAATATTACGTTCCTAGCCATGTCGAAAATTCAAAATGAGTTCCCCCTGGGGACATTCCTCCACTACCCCATACCTCACCTTCACCATCGTCCCCCATCATCATGCCAGCAAGAGCGTCCTCAAAGTCCATATCCTACAAAGCAAGCAATGACCCGTCCTTCCACAACGTTGGAGGAATATATGTTCGCTCTCCTCATCCGAGTTGAGCAGTTTCCTCACAAAAACTAATTCGGCTACAAGTGTACAAAAACCAACAAGAATTTCCCAAAATTTTCATATTGTCCCCAACACATATAACTGAATACTTCCATATTCCAACCCACCTCCATCTCTCCCATGCCCACATCCCGCAGTTCGCCGTCAACACCAACATCTCCCATAAACTCCGCCGCCTCGAAAAGCGGCTCCTCCTCTTCTTCCTCCTCCTCATCGTCATCAGCACTAGGCTGTTCTGATGCCTCCATCATAGCGTCACCACCCGAGCTCTCCTCCTCACCTACACCACAGACCCATCCAGCTTTGAGAAATAAAGTTCCCCAGGGAGAATGTTCCTAATGTGATGATCACATTCACATGGTAAACTGATTGAAGAATGTGTTCCTAGCCATACGTGGAAATGAGTTCCCCCCAGGAACATTATAAATTGCTGGATGATTCTCCGACCTACACACCCCTCCCACCGACCACGCCTCAGGCGTATGCCTCAGAGCTTCATAAAAATGAAAGCACCTATACTTCTAGACTCTAATTACACTTTTGCAGTAGCAGGTTATTCAATGAGGTATATGAAGGAAGACTCCAAGGTGTCCAGTTACAAACTCCCACCTTGCACTGTAGCTGGGGCCACCGTCAGTGGGGCCACCTCCATGGCGTCGTCAACACTAGACCTATCAGCCTCCTCCTCATCCAGTATGCTATCAGCCAGCCCCACGCCAGGACCCTCGTCCCCATCGTCCATCTCCTCCAATATCTCCACATGGATCTGCTGCTCCTGCTCCCCCACTGCTGGTGATGCTGCTGCGGCCGCCGGCATGCCCTCTACCGCCTCCTCCATATTTTCGTGGCGCGGTGACAAATTTCCAGATGAATCACCAACCGAATCGGCCCGAGCAATCCCTTCCTGCTCCCCCTTCGGTACAACATTCCCGCCATCGGGGAACTCCGGACACCTCGTCAACGGTACTAGAGGCTCCAACATACTCTAACAAAAATGCACAATCTACAGCGGAGCGAAGCAGCAGCAGCTATTATCAACACTACTACCTCCGCGACAAAAGGGCTATAGGGCTGATCAAGCTGTAGGACCCCAAGCGCCTCCCCCAACCAGCCCTTCACCTCTTGGACTCTCTCAAGCTGATACGCTTGGACCTCGTCAGCGCCCGGCAGCTGAACTCGACCGTCCAAGACGAAATGCTCTATACCATCCTCTCCTCTGCACTTCGTCAACTGCATACTATATCTATGTACATAAAAATTACCACCAAAAAGGCGGAGCGAAGCAAAAAATATTACATGAGATATGCTCGAGCCATCAGCCTCGCAGCCTCAACAGCTCCCTCACTGGCAGTCGTCTTCTCCTCCTCCTCCTCCTTACCCTCAGTCGCCTTCAACGATTGGTGCCTCCGAGGTATCATCACATCCACCTTAGGTATGCCCTTTTCCCCATCACCACCAAATGCCTCCGATAAACTCTGAGGGAGCCACTTGCCCTACCCTCCCCAACAGTAGCATCATCAGCCTACCTTCCAAAGGACATCCGAAATCTGCCTCACCACCGCTTCGCTCCGCTCAGAATTCAGCACGGCCACAAACAGCCACTCCTGAGCCATAGCGCCCGCCCACAGACTCGCTTGGTTGAGTGCCGTATGGTCTCCCACTACTGCAGAAAGTGCATACAAGCCATCACCTACAACAACAACAACAATCACCATACCACGCCAATTCCAACATCACCTATGAACTCCAGCAAGCAACTGCCCGTCTCTGCTGCCATCCACGAGAAACAGTCGGTCGGCGACGACACCAATGGTGTTGATCCCTCAGCTAGGAACCTCTCAGGGATGACCGGCTCGAAATCGAGGCGGGGTAGAGCGTGCTTCACATCAAGAGTTTGGCACAGTTTCTGAACAAGTGCGACAATAAGGAGTATTCATAATTTCCCCTAATCTATAAACGTTCGGTGTTTTTCACACACCTTAAAACGGTCACCTCTCGCCAATTGTCGCGCGCCACGAAATGATCCTACTACATTGATGAGGAAGAGCAGCTGCTCAGCTCCATTGGCCACCTTAGCCTCCCCCGATGCAGCATAAGCAGCCTCTTCATTACTCTGATAATGAGCAGCACTCGTACTCATCGCCGGGCCAATACCACGCCCCATCATACACACACCTGATAACACCGTCACGCGCCACAAAATTACCCCACAACCTACGAAGGGCCACTAGCAGCGTTGACACAGTCTTTGCCAAGTTATGTGGAATTGCCATTTCCGGCGGTTCCGTCGAGTTCGACTCTGTCACCGGATGGTCCCCCTGACAATAACAGATATACGCCAAGATGAACAGACCCCCCATACGCTGGTCCTTCGCTCAGCCCTCACCAATCCATTCGCCTCTTCAACTACCTCATCTCGTAGAGCGATCCACCCCTCGTCTAAACAACAACCAACCCCGGTTCGATCCCCGCACCCCGCATTTTTCCTACCAGAATCACAATACTTGGTGTACTTCGCCAAAGTCCGCTTTATAATGTCACCAACATCGCGACCAATACAAACCGGACCCAGCTTCTCAGCTAGAGCCTCCACAATGTCCCTCCCCTTCACCCATGGTCTCCCATCACTCGCCCGAACATGATCATTATGAGTAGCCAAATACCGCAACACGATAGGCTTAGCCTCCGCCTGACCACCACCACAACAATAACAGCATATCTTTCAAATCTTCGCTGTGCGCAACCTCACCATAACTATATAATCATCATCCCGACAAATATTCAACATCACCGTTTTAAGATGTGCGAGCATGCCAGGGTAACTAAAGGAAAAAATTACCCCCACAAAAACGTTACTCTATGAAGTCGACTATAAACCATCAAACTTCCTCTTGATACGCGTTCCCTATTCGCGGAGGTTCGAACCCCAGGCTCGGAAATTTTCTAGCAATTAATTTTTCCATCACTCCTCACCTTGAAATTTGTGGTAACGTCAGCAGCATCCACAGCCCGCCAGTACTAAGGACCTCCACAGCACACTGGTAGTATCTAGTGGTCTCCGACAGGCACATGAGAAGAGCCTGGCTCTGCATAGGGTCCATCAGAGGGGTCCTCTCCATCACTCTAACCAAAGCCTTAGTCAACGATAGCATCGTGTCCCGACCATTGGGCATGCCAAGTAGACAACCTAATAGAAAAAAGAAATTCATGCAATTTTCTGAGAATTATCAACATAGGAGTTTCACGACGTGAAGTGGCGTAAAACTCGTCTTACAATAGTCGTGAAATATGTTTGTCATATCGCTAGAGTGAAACTCCATCGTCAAAATTTCATTTTCCCGAGCCCGACAGGATGCAAATCAGGCATGCCGCCCTAATATCCAAAAATACCTCCAAAAATTGTGAAAACTTTAATTTTCTCAACAAAAAATTTCATCCCCTCATTTCATCGATTTCCAAAAAATGTGTTCTTTTCCGCTCCTTCCTTGGCGGTTATCATTTCGAGAATAACGTCTCGGAGCTTTGCCCCGGTCGAAGTTGCTCAAGATATTTCCCCTATAATAGAAGCGATACCAGAATTAATAATTACAGCCCTACGAGTTGCATAAAAGTTCAGCACTAAAATCAGGAGGCCCAACCAGGCGAATCCTTCTACCAAATAGCAGCTAGTCATAGTCACATCCCTCCGTTATTACTCAGCCATTTATGCACACATACTATGACCGTCGAGAGCCACCTCGGAGGCATCTTAGCTCGATCACGATTAGCCACAGACATATTCCCCAACTCCTCCGCTACAGAGCTTGATGA